TCTACAAAAGAAATCAATTAATTTCATATAGAACAACATGCATGAATAATGAAGGGATTGAGAGATATAAAATTAAGAAATTTTAAGTTTTAATAACTTAATAATTAATCTTTAATTATCCTAATCCTCCTTTGATATCCCGTACCCGCACTGTTCACCACCAGTTATTTTATTTGTTGGATGCATCGTGGACTCTCTAGAGCTTTGTTTTTTCCCCCCTCCCTTTGCGTTCTCACCCATCTAGAGCTTCCAGCAAGCCCCTCCGTGAAATTCAGTTGGGCCACTGTAGCAGTCACACGAACTGGATTGGGCCACTGTAGCAGTCACACGAACTGGACACTGGGCCGAATGCAACAGAGCATGATTCAAGGTTCCGGGGAAATTTCTATAAGTGTGAATCCCTCTCTCAAAATATTTGAAACTTTCATTTTCTTCCTCGCCCTTTCGTTCTGGCATTTGCCTCATTTTTCGTGCTTTTCTCGTTTCTAATAACCGTCGAAGGCGTGAGGCGCCGATTTTGTGCTAGAAGTGTCTTAATTGATTTTGTGACTCTTTAAAAACATTTTAGCACAAAATCAGAGAGAAATAAGGTTCAGGTGATAGGAAGGAGGAAAAGTAAATTTGATGATTTTAAAAAGGCGAATTTATACCGAAAAGCCCTTTTGAGGTATGTTTTGGTGAGTAAAGTACATTTTTCGGTTAATGCATGTTACGAACTAAATTTTATAAAATCATACGCCATCTATGAGCCCCAGTTTATCAATACGATGCGATGAGCTCAAAACAAGCATGTGGGCACTAATCGCAAGGCTGCTCCGTCAAGTCAGGTGAAATAATCTTATAATAACTTAAAAAAATAATCTTCTATAATTTTTCATATGATTTCTATTTTGACACATATATTTAGAAGTTCCTGCATATTATAAATGGATATGTGTAATTGAAAGTATGAATGCACGTTTACTTTTCTTACGATACATATAATGTTATTGTTAGGTTATGCTACATATGACTCTGCATATGATATGAATTTTCTACAGGTATTTATTTATTATGCTTCATATTTATGTCTATGATACATGTAATACCTGATAAATGTTTGATGCATGAGTGATGATTCAAATGTTAAGAGTAATGTTATATGTAAACTATTACATAAGTGTTTGCAAGTACATTATGCAGAGATGTATTTCCGAATCCTGATATTTTATTCATGGACAAAACACTGGGAACTGTTGAAATCATGCAGTGATAGAAAGGTAGGGAACCGTGTGTATCAAAGGGGCTATCGATAATTGCCATGTTGAAAGAAGTTTAACCTATATCGATAGTTTATATGATCTTTAGGAACGGTGATGACCCAAGATAAAAAGACATGAAAATAGTTGAGTCATATACATTAAATAAGTGACATTACTATGAAATGACATTGTTATGATTACATACTATAAACAACATATGAACATGCTTATGAACACGTTTTTTATTATACTTATGATTTTATGCTTACAACGAACATGTTGCACTGCAGTCTTAATTTTTACAATGTCTGCTCCTTTTTCATTTTCTCTCTACAATGCTAGCATGTTATTACTTGTGTGTGTAGGCATGTACAGTTTCCTACGAGCATGCAAGTTATTTCTTTTTCAAATATAAAATGTTATTTTAGCCCTAATTATTTCTCCGAGCCCATTGTTGTTCATCTTTCATTTTTGTCTTCCAGGCAGCGGCAACAAGCACGGGGGCGAATAACTAAGTCTGTCTTTGTATAGCTTTTTCACGACAATTTTGGGAGCTTGTACATATGCTTTGAGTTAGTATTTTTATTTATATTTAGCTATGTATAGTTTTCATGTTTTTAAACATGAGATTTTCATGTTTCCAAGTATGTAAAAGAAATACAATGTATCACATAAATTCTGGCGATTTAGTTAGACTAATTCATCACCCACTGGGTTCTGATTATAAAAGTCACGACAAGTGCTGGTGAGAGTTGATCTAACCAGATTGCTAGCCTCTGCCGCACCACGATTGACCCTACCAGCGGGATTAGTTGGAGTGTGACACATTTACGAATTCTCTACTCCATATAGTTTTGACAAAATATACCTCTAATATGTTGGCATAATTCTCAATGTGACAGCACATAATTGGTGTTTATGTTGTTCGTACTTCGCATGTTGTCATATTTTACTTGAAACGTAAGTGAGTTGACTAGGCGACAATAACAACAAGCCTTTATCCCACTAAATCGGGTCGGCTATATGAATCATTTTTCTCCATCGTGTCCTACTGAGTGTCATGTTTTCATTTAATTCTAATAAATCAGTGAGTTCACTATATTCCATCAAATTCAAATATGATGACGATTGACTTTTTTTTAATCTATGCATATATATATATATAGATATATATGTATGTATATGCATGTAGATGCATGTATATGCATGTAGATGCATGTAATACATGCATGTATATGCATGTATATGCATGTATATGCATGTATATATATATATATATGTATGTATATGCATGTGTATATATATATATATATGTATGTATGTATATATATATATATATATATATATATATATGTATGTATGT